GATAGTTGATACAGAGCAGTGATAGTTGATACAGAGCAGTGATAGTTGATACAGAGCAGAGATAGTTGATACAGAGCAGTGATAGTTGATACAGAGCAATGATAGTTGATACAGAGCAGTGATAGTTGATACAGAGCAGTGATAGTTGATACGGCTAAGAAAAACAGATTCACACAAATGCACACACACACACAGAGCAACTTTCACACACACAATATATTCACTGAGACGCTGTGTAGCGGAACGGAATGCATTAAGTAATTGCCTATCTTAATTATCTTAACTAGTCATCCGAATCTCACGCCGCAACACTTAATTATCTTAACTAGTCATCCGAATCTTCCGCTTCAATGTTTAATTAATCATATTTATATACCATCGGAATAGTACAATTTCATATTTAATTAATAGTATTTAGATCCACCCGTTACTTGAACACATACACATTAAATTTATCACCTTTACAAGTTAAAAAATTATCTTGTTCGCCTGGATATTTAATTAATTATCTTTTATGGGTAATTAAATAAATAATTTTCAACTTAGTCATTAACGTAACTTTCTGTTACTTTCGAATCGTTAAAAAACGTAAAAGTTTCGGTAACGACGCTGAACAAATCGCCACGTTTGTGAATCAACGTAACGCATCGTAATGATGCCGACACAATACCGTTAAGTGGAACTATACATCATCTTATGTTACTTGTATACATCCTTATAAATATTGTAACGATGATTTGTAACGTGTTGCATCGTTATTAATCGTAAAGCTGCCAGCACCGTGCCATGACCGTAGCAACAATCGCAACATGACGCAACGATCGAAACGAAAAAGACGTAACACGAGCGCCGGACCGTGACCGTACGTGCCACAAGAGTTGCCAGATGGCCTGAAAAACGGCCAATCCCCCGAATAAAAAAGGCCAAAAAGGCTTATAACTCAACATATACTAGTATATTTGTAGGTTCCGGTGTCAAAATTATGTTTCTTTTTTATTTGCAGTTTTCTACAACTATATTAGGAAGTACCCCTATCGTAAATTTTAGCCGGCTAACGAAATTGAAAACAATTAAATCTCGGAATTTGTCCGAAAAAAAGACCGTTTGGCAACCAAGGCCGCAACAACGGTCGTAGAATAACAAGTATGTTGAGAACATCATAAGTCATCATTCAATTTATATGAGCTTGTTTATAACTTCATAACGGCACATATCATAAATAAATTTTAGGATCGAATCTACCAATAACAAAACACAATTTCTCACACGTTTTCATCATAATGACGTAAGTTCATGCATTATTGAGCTCATGGGTGAAAATCAAGCAAAACCAGCATTCTATTATTCATATTCATTTTCTATACATCGTCTATTGACCGACTACAATGGATGAATGAATTACCGATGAAGATAGACAACTGAATATGACGAAGGAATTCAAGATTTCATACATAAAATAATTAATTCACATTATGTATCATGTATCTTACTCGATACACATGGCCAGTATTCCGTCATAGTAAATTGCCTTTCATTCGATTTTTCAATTGGTCATTCATGCAATCATTGCACTGGCCTCTCCTTCACATTACTGAACAAAAGCTTGCACAACTGAGCGCCGCAGCGCCGCTGGCCCGAGACAGGCTCATTGCGGTGAAAAACTCTTGCGAAAATTGGGCGAAATGCTGGCCAGTTTATGGCAGTTTGTATGGAATGCTGGCCAGTTTATGCCAGTTTGTATGGAATGCTGGCCAGTTTATGACAGTTTGTATGGAATGCTGGCCAGTTTATGGCAGTTTGTATGGAATGCTGGCCAGTTTATGACAGTTTGTATGGAATGCTGGTCAGTTTATGGCAGTTTGTATGGAATGCTGGTTGGAATGCTGGCCAGTTTATGACAGTTTGTATGGAATGCTGGCCAGTTTATGACAGTTTGTATGGAATGTCGGCCAGTTTATGACAGTTAGTATGGAATGTCGGCCAGTTTATGACAGTTTGTTTGGAATGCTGGCCAGTTTATGACAGTTTGTATGGAATGTCGGCAAGTTTATGACAGTTAGTATGGAATGCTGCCAGTTAATATATTATAATTTTATATATTATTATATAATATAAAAAAATAATAATTGAAGTAAATTCTCCATCCCGAAACTTGGATCGGTCTAGACAACATACAATATAAAAAATATGGGTCGTTGACCAAAATTTGAAATACTTTCTTATCGACAGATAGGATAGCAGACGTAGCACTGACATTCCCTTTTTTCGTGCCAAATTGGGTAAGAATGACCCAGACATGGGCAAAAAACGAGTCGCTATTTGGACAAAAGTCGCAAACATTTCTTTGAGTGTAGAGACAGGTTCCCGAGCGTTCCCGTATCCATGCTACGGATCTCGACAATTAGAGTGATCATTTTTAATTAATAAATTGAAAGAGAAAATCAGCAATCAAGATGGCGGTCAATTATCGGTCAGTAAATTCCCCTTTGATGAGAGGCTTTCCCGCCAGGGGGAATTGGGGGAGTGAGTTTCCCACCAGGGGGGTTGGGGGAGTGGGTATACACGGGAGAAAACTATATTTTTATATTATTCGCTGTTATTTTAACGATATATGCTGTTGTTGATGTCATATATTAACTTTATAAGCAGTTCTTATAAGTGGTTGCTCGGAAAATCTTTTATTTATATTTTTTTCATCTACCCAGCATTGATTCTGTTATTTCAAAGATAGTCTTTTTGACTCACCATTGCGCTGTTGTTTTCTTTACTCACCACTGCGCTGTTATTTTCTTGCCTCACCACTGCGCTGTTATTTTATTGACTCACCACTGCGCTGTTATTTAATTAATCAACAAAAGCAGCAGTAGCAGCAGGCCTTCGCTTCCTCGTTGCGCAAGAAAATTTGTTAGCCAACGAATTCGATTTACGGCGCGTGCCTGAAAGTTATACGTGGACGTGTGTGCGTTACTGTGTTGTGTGTGTGTATTATTGTGCCGCATGTGTGTTATTGTGTTGTTCCTGCGTTAGTGTATCGTGTAGGAGCGTTATTGTGCTGTGTGTGTTTTATTGTGTTGTGTGTGCGTTACTGTGTTGTGTGTGCGTTATTGTGTTGTGTGTGCGTTCCTGTGTTGTGTGTATGCGCTACTGTGATGTTTATGAGTTATTTTGTTGTGTGTGTGAGTTATTGTTTTGCGTGTGTGCGTTAGTGTGTCGTGTACCGACATACAACGTATACATGCCCCTTGTTCACACGCGCCACGTCCTGATTAATCCAATACCGCGGAACATTAGAAAAAGTTCAATTCAAACAACTAATTATAAAATGTATTTCTCAGTTAGTCCTTCAGTTTTGCCTCTTATAACAAAATAGAGTGTGGGCTTACAGTTGTTCCGAACAGTTGATCAGTTAGGCCTTTTTTATGGATCCCAAATGGAAATATAGTGAGCTCCAACAGTTAGACCAACAGTTAGACCAACAGTTAGACCCAACAGTTAGCCCCAACAGTTAGACCAACAGTTAGACCAACAGTTAGACCAACAGTTAGCTCCAACAGTTAGACCAACAGTTAGACCAACAGTTAGCTCCAACAGTTTCCCAACAGTTAGCCCCAACAGTTAGCCCCAACAGTTAGCCCCACAGTTAGACCAACAGTTAGCCCCACAGTTAATACCAAACAGTTAGACTGTGCAGGCATCACAACTGAAGCCCGCAGTTAGTTCCCTCAGTCAGGTCAGTCATATTCATAGTTCAATTCAACAGCCAGCAAGGCAGTTAGCAGTTATGTAGCAGTTATAGGGCAACTGGTGCAGTACAGCGGCAGTAACTGGCCCGTGAACGAGATGACCGGCGCACAGTTAGGCGGCGTTACAGTGTCACGGGAGCAGTTATTGTCACGGTTATTGTCACGGTGGGATCACAAGAGAGATGTAGCCGTTATAGCCGTTAGCTTTATAGCCGTTAAAGCCGTTAGGATATATTTAAAACAAGTTTATCGAATATAAAAGTAACAATAATTATAATTACCGCCTAATCAGTTAATAAATATTTAGCGACATTGATAACAGTTAACGACATAAATATTAAACGTTAAATCAGTGAATATCATAAATATCGGACGTTAAATCAGTTAATTACGAAAATATTGAAGGATAAATCGGCAAATAATAAGAAAGTTGGACGTTAAATCAGTGTATGACTAAAATATGGAACGTTTGATCAGTGAATAACCGAAAGTTTCCACGTAAATTCATGGAGACAGGTAAACAGAAAATTATTACTTTGCGCAGCGAGAAGATAACTGATCGTCATCTGGCGTCGCCGTCTGATCGACGGAGGATAAAAGACGGGATTTAACCGTACTTTAACCGTGACTAAACCGTGATTTAACTGCGTAAACTTTCCGCGACCAATGCACTGCGTTCGTCTATAATCTATATCAGTGATTCCCAAACTTTTCAGGCTGGCGCCCCCTTTGGCTCCCTAGTGAATTTCTAGCGCCTCCCACAGACACATATAAAAACATACGCCTCTTTCTTGAAATTTAGTACGCTGCAATTTAAAATATAAAGGTTAAACACAAATGTGTATTTCACAAATAGAACCCCATTTAGTGAACCAATATGTTTTTCAGCAGTTTTAACTGTTTCAGCACTAGAAACTTAGGACGCCTCGGGCGAATTTACGGCCGGACTCGTGGCCGGTCTCACGACCAATCTCCAAATTCAGTTATCAAGTAATATCTCCCAAACTAATGAACGCAGCTCTATGAAACTTGGAACATGTATTCATCAAAACTTAACGGTGATGTTTAGCACGTGAACATTTTTTGCATTTCACCTTCATTCGTGAGTTGTATTGCGATACAGGCCGAAATTCACAGTGATCAAAGAATTTCTTCCAAACTACTGAACAGATTTGAACGAATTTTCGTATATGCATTCCTAACTACCAAACGGTGATTTTTAAGATTAAAAAAATTTTTGACTTAACCTTCGTTTACGAGTTTTTTTTCATTTCATCGTCATTCTTGATTTCACACTTCTTTATATTCGGCCCGTATCGCCGGGTAATTTGTCGCTTAAATTCGCGGTGATCAAAAAATTTCTTCAAAACTACTGAACAGATTTCAACGAAACTTTGTATATAAAAAAGGTAAAATACCTAACCTCCCAACGGTGATGTTTAGCTCGTCACTATTTTTCAATTTTGCTTTCGTTCGCGAGTTACACAGATATACTGTATGTAAGAGAAACGACCGGCTTTTCTACCGGCCGTTTTAACCGAGAGCCGTTTACGTATAGCCGTATAACTCGCAAACGAAGGCAAAATAGAAAAAAATTTAACGAGCTAAACATCACCGTACCTGAGGTTGGGTATTTAAATGCCAAGTTTCGTTCAAATCTGTTCAGTAGTTTGGAAGAAATTTCTTGATTACTGCGAATTTAAGCACGTATTGCTGTTTAAATCACGAATGAAGGTGAAATGAAGAAAAAACTCGCGAACAAGGGGCAATCGAAACAATTTTTACGAGCTAAACATTATCGTTCGGTACTTAGGGTTGTAAATTCAAGATTTCGTTCGAATATGTTCAGTAGTTTGGAAGAAATTCCTTGATCACTGTAAATTTCGGCCCGTATTGCCATATAACTATGGCAAAAACAAAAAGAAGGCAAAATTAAAAACATTTTCACGAGCTAAACATTACCGTTAGGTCCTAATGAATACGTGTACTAAGATTCATCGAGTTAAGTTCATTAGTTTGAGAGACATTCCATGATAATTGAATTTAGAAATTGGACGTGAGACCGGCCGCGAGTCCGACCGTAAAGTTGTCCGAGACGTAAATCCAGGTGATGTTAAAAAAAAACCATCGCTGGGAGTCGTGTGCTGCACGTGTTGTGTACAAATCGTGAAACAAACGTTCGATCTTCGGACTTCGACTTCGGACTGCCGCCCCCCATATCGCCCCCCTACCGCCCTCTTCTTCCTTACCGCCCCCAAAAATATTTCCATCGCCCCTAGGGGGGCGATATCGCCCACTTTGGGAACCACTGGTCTATAAAGTTTTGAACTCAACTTCAGTTGAACGGATTAAACTGTGATTCATAGCAAAAATAACCGTTTCAACGATGGCCTGGCCAGCGAGCTTATCTTTAGCATGATTTACTTCTTATTGTGTTTTACTTCTATTTTACGTTATTTTTCACAACTATTTATAACTCATTATTTTGAAAACAGCCCCTACCTATCATTCAATATGTAACAATGAGCGTTGGATGGTTTCATTGAACATAGAATATGAGAACCCATTGTTATTTTTCCAGCTGGTATTTTCAGAATGATTTAATTTACCCGGACAAAACCTCATTTATAAGAGTAAATAAATTTTTTAGAGTACTTGTAACCATAATATGGGTTGATTCAACACTAATTGTAATTCCAGTCGCCCTTGAGAGTTCAGTTTTTAACAGAATGCCTTAATTCTGCACTCACCATAATTCCAGTCACATTAGATAAATTAGCCTGCAACAGAATAGTTCAATTAACATTTTCTCCCGCGTTATATTGACCCCCGATAGTTTAATTTTTAAGAGAATGGCCTGGTTCTGCACTAGCTCTAATTCGAGTAACCCACCTGACCAGACTGTCGATGTTCCGCTTAGTTTCGTCCACGTGTCTTGAACCGTTGAAATGTCTCTGCATGGGGGCGCCCCTGGGAAGAGGAAAAACTTCGGGGGGATATGCCAAATCCCCATCAATGGGGTAGGACATCGGAGGATACGAAAGAGCGTAATCCATAGGATAATGAGGATAGAAAGGACTGTCCAGTGGTGAAGCGTGTGAAAGCACAAGCGCGGGATCTCCCCCCATCTGTAGGTGTATGATCTCCTCAGGAGTAAGCATGGCGGGGTCAGGAAGGTAGGGACCATCGTAAGGGTACATCCCGAAATCCCTTGGTGGTAAAATGGGTGGGTCGTAGTACCCCACCAAAGGGGGTAAATAAGAATCCTGGATAGGATAGCCTTGAGGGTCAATGCCACAACGACCGTCGTAGAGTCTGGGATCCATCATGTGGGGGTCTACAATTAAAGCATCGCGATCAATAATCCTTGGGTCAATCAGACGAGGGTCCAAGTTTGGATCAATGAAGAGTCTTGGGTCATGAAACGAAGGGTCAAGCAACCCTAGGCCTTCTGAGTATGGCGGCATGAACATCGTCTCATCGTGGTAGTTGTCGCCTATGACTTCCCTGCTTCTGTGGTCAAGAATTCGATCACTCGATTTGGATCGTTGATTCCCGTTAGATCTGTCTCTCCCCCGAGATCTATCTCTCCCCCGAGACAAAAGATCCTCTTGATTTAATGGGTCCCTTCCGCTTGACCGGTCCCGTCCTCGAGGCCTATCTCCCTGTCTATCTCTTCCACTGGAACGATCACGTGGATCGTTTGCTCTATTTCCCCGCATTTCAAAGCCGTTGGAGGAACGACGTTTCGGTTCAACAGACCGACCGCGGTTCTTGCGAGTATTGTTGTGGTTCTCTTGCATCAGTTTTTGTTGTTGTCGATGCCTCAAAAAGGCCTCTCGTTGCATCAGTTGGTGATCACGAAGAATAATGCTCTGTTGTTCACGTCCCAAAGCATGATCAGGTTGACGAGGGTACGCATCACGACTTGGCATGAAATCGGTCTGCCGGTGAAGAAGGGATTCATGATGGCGAAGTTGCCGTTGGTACTCCTCGGAGTCTTCAAGCTGTCCACGATATTTTCGCTGCAATGCAGCGCATATATCGCTGTTGATCTCCTGATAGTCATGAGTACCACTGCTACCACTACCACAGGATGAACGACTCTTGACAGAACCTGAAGACTTTGCAAGCTTTTCATTTTTTGAATCGTCGACATTTGGGGAGCTGTCTTTTGCGGAGTTTACCGAATCAACCATTCTAGATGATCTGCCGGAATCTTCACTTTTCCCTTTTTTGGAACTGGAACTTTTATTAGACTCTAAAGATTCTTCTCGCGAAACACAGGCGCTAGAGTTTCGAGAATCTGATGAAGAAGTTATCGATGATGTGTGGGCTTCATTAGACTGCACACCATCTCCAGTCTGAGCACTGCCAGACTTTTTCGGCAACGCCGGGGGACCGGTTTTAGGTTTCTTGCTCCTGTCAACCGAAGGTGGCGCTTCAACTTCACTGTCTTGTCGGTGCACATCAGCTTTAATTTCGAAACTCCCAAGCCTTGCAAACTTTCCATCTGACTTCTTAGACGAAGTTTGATGCACAGCTGGGGTCACCGGGGACTTTTTAACGGTTTTATCGGACGACGAAGTAGTTTCGCCTAAGTCCTCGTCCAGGAAGTCTTCGTCGAGATCTGGATCGTCGAACTCGGACAGGACTTGGTCCAGGACATTGAGACTTTGCCGCACGTCCTCGCTAGGGAAGAAATTTGTTTCTAAGAATTAATTGAACTAAAAAACTCATGCGATGATATTACATTTTTAATAAATTTTCGAACTCATGATGAAGCTGGTCTCCGAAAGATCCAAATATATTGTTAGTTGTTTCTTTATTTTTATTCTCGAAATAATCATTTACATTACTAGAATTATGAATACAAATATCATAATAATAATAGTATAATATAACACGACACACATTTGGAGTAAAAGTCACGTATAAAGCCGTGACTTTATAAATTATAAATAAATAAATTATTATTAACATAAATAAATTCATATTCATTATTATTAACAAAGTAAATAGGTGCAGGTAGAAATAACTAAACAGCAGTACAACAAAATAGGGGTGAATTGGGGAGTTTATGTGGGTAGATGTGAGTAGACGTGAGTAGTGTTGAGTAGATGAGAGTAGACGTGAGTAGTGTTGAGTAGATGTGAGTAGACGTGAGTAGTGTTGAGTAGATGAGAGTAGAGGTGAATAATCGCATGCCGGGAAGGTGAGGGCGGGACGACACAATGAGCTTTGTATGGAAAAGCCTTCCACCGCCAGCTCTGTGTGGCGTGTGTGTGTGGCGTGTGTGTGGCGTGTGTGGTGTGTGTGGCATGTGTGTTGCGTGTGTGTGGCGCGTGTTGTGTGTGTATGGCGCGTGTGTGGCGGCATGTATAGCGTGTGTGTGAGTATATAACTAAATTATACGTGAGACTAAATTTGTGTAAACGTGTGTGAGACTAAATTTTAAACAAAGAAATATATATACACAATTATTATATATAAAAATTAATAACCAAATTATAACAAACAGTGAATATATATGAATAAAATTCCGACAGTTCTCACCTCCTGGACCAGGAGGGGGTGGGGGGCGCCCGCATGGGGGAGGGGGGGTCGGGCACCACCATCATGTACAATCACGACGAATTTTACGTCGTACGTGACGTCATCACAGCCAATCATCCAATATTTCTCAATTTAATATCAATTTTTACATTAACATATTTCCTATAACAATATTACGGTACTATAACATTTAAATTCTTCTAATTTACAAATCAGAAAAATATGTCATTTTTCTAATCACGATTTTATTAGCCAATCACAGAAGCGTGATTTGTTTTCACAAATTCAGCTACCAATCGAAAAATAATTTTTTTAGATCCTAATTTCATTAGCCAATCAGGGAGCCGAATTTTTTATTTGAATAATTCATAGGCCAATCAGGAATTAGTATTCACAATTCATTTTCTTACAGTTAATTAAATATGATAAGTAAACAACCAATCTATTTTATTTTATTAATCATATTTATTTTATTAATCATATCTCAGCTATGAGATATGATTAGCTTATATGTGGTGCATGTAGGTATCTATGTGCTCTATGTTTTAATGATAACCGTTGCCATCGTAAACATTCTCACAATGTATGGGCACCCTTTTCAAAAAATTGTCCGATTATTAAGGATATTATCTTAAGTTTCAGTGATACCCTTATTGATTTTACAATGTAAGTTGATATGAAAAGGAATATATAATAAATTTATATTATAGGTACATGCTTCATTATAATAAAAATATTTATTTTCCATTACTTGTTCTCTCCGTTAAATTCAGCTCACCAATTATTCACATCAAATAAATAAATAATTCACATTAATGATTGGAGGCTAGAAAGTGACGGATGATTTGTAATAATTTGATCATTATACAATTATAAGGAGCTTATCATCAGAATACTATTATAAGATGATCGTTCCATCACTAGATAATTAATCATAACACTTTATGAGAAGAATTTACAATCATTGCAACATGCTGCAGCCATCGTCACACTGCAGTTATCATTAATGTTACACAGCTGCTATCATCACGGTAACACCGTTACTATCATCACGGTAACACCGTTACTATCATCACGGTAACACCGTTACTATCATCACGGTAACACCGTTACTATCATCACGGTAACACCGTTACTATCATCACGGTATCATTGGAATCACTGGCAGGGATCGGCAGCTGGCACCGCATAACTGAACGCGGCCGCGGGGAGACGATAAAAAATGCGCAGCAAAATAAAAGCGCGTCGAGAAAAGTGAGACTCGGGATAGCGGTCCAGACAAGGTTACTGAGCACGCGGCGAGCGACGCACATCCTCACGCCACCACGTCCGCAGACGCACTGAGTGTAGGCGACCGCCGTGGACGAGGAGAGCCACACCTGCACCTGTAGTGCCTACAGCTCCAGGATGCTTTTTTGTTCGTTCTGTTAAATTCCTTAGATTTAGATTGAATTAATTAAATAGATGAGGATAGATTTCGGTATTGAAAGTTGTTATTGGTGATGATTGAATAAATGATTCGTTATTTACAGTAGCTTATGAGTTACATACGTCAAAGTGATGAAATTGACTAGTGAAGGTTAGGTTAGGTTTTAAGGCCGGAATTTTTTTCGTAAATTTTTATTTTATATTTTTGGGCCCTTCTGGCAACCACGCCCGATGCAGGTATGATGGGCCAGGAGCTATGATTAGCTTGTATGTGATGCATGTAGGTATCTATGTGCTCTATGTTTTAAAGATAATCGTTGACATCGTATGCGCATTCAAAAAAAAAATTGTCCGATTATTAAAGATATTGTCATAAGTTTCAGTGGTATATCTTTATTGATTTTACAAACGCTTACACAAGTATACATTCAGAAAAATTAATGGGTAATATAATATATGTAACTTTTTGCATGTACACATATACGCCATATTGCCGGATCAAACTTGGTAAAAATTATCCACACAAATCAAATGCACAATTTTTATTTGTGCAAAGTTTATCTTTTTTGTTTATCTGTTCATCTGAGTGCAGATTTTTACATAAGTGATGATTCTGGGACTCAGTAAAATTTTTATTTGCGAGTACCTTCTAAATGACGTCAATTTCTCACATCCAAATTTGTTAAAATTGTTAACGATATTTTAAGATGCAAGCTATTATTTTTTTTTTAATATCTAGCGATTTTCTAGCACCCAGAGGTGCGTGTACTGCGTTTTTAACGGTCGTTAGGAAATGCATTCACCACACCGATGCGGTGAGGGGTGGATTGGTGGTGTGGGTGAGTGACGTCACGAGATCACATTTGTTGACATTGAGGAAGCATAACCTCGGCACGCATGACAATCTCCCACTTGCTGTCTTTGTTGTGATAACGAAGCAGTTCTTAATACCTTTCCTTATCACGGGTCTTAGTGACGCGTTCCAGCTCTGGATTAGATTGAAGCTAGTGACCTTCTGGACTGGATACTACAACAATGTACGAGCTGAGACTACTTCCTTTGGAACTATGCTGGAACCGTTGCCCTGGGTGCATAATTTCTGTACCTGCAATAATCCACACGAGACTACTTCCATTGAACTTTTGTTTAGTTATATTCATAATTAGAAACATTGGCTTTAAATTTAATACATATATAGAATTCATGAATTTAGTTTCTACTTAAGCAGTATAATTGGATACCGGCCGGTGAGACAGTGCGATTCAAGTTGCACCGCCATTTATAATTAGCTTAGCCAACAAGTTCTCAAGTTATTCCAGTTGAAAATGTAAGGTACGCAGCCCAAGAAATAGTAGGGCACTCGCTTGGCATTTTTTTATATCGTTCATCGAGAAGAAAACGGAATTGCATGGCGAGGATGAGCCGCTGTGACTGTAGGGCAAAGAAGACGACCTACATATCAGCTGAGCGGGAGAACGCTAGGGGGCGCGGTGATCGCGACGCTACGGATAACATTTTCTCGACTTTAATTACTGTGAAAAAACACGTGCGTTCCTTTTAATTGGGTCACTTTTCTGATGAGGGTTTAGAAAAAACTATAAGTGGTGAAGGTATGAGGAATTTATGAACTTGTTTAAAGGAAAGATGCTTTGATTGTCATTTTAAATTTAACTGAACAAATGAAGAAAAAAATAAGAAAACCTATGAGTATAATTAATATGATCACAATTTGAGCTTAATTATAAACAGACTAATTAGAAAGTTCGCTTGGGTTCGAAGCCTGCATGGCTCCGCCCAAACGACATTTCTCCGGGCAGACCGGCGAACTCGCACGTAAAAACTAACTTTAGGCTCATATGTCCAGCACACAACTCCCTTGATGCTCAATTGATGAAATTAAATTCATCATTCATTCACTGCGATCATTGCAAAACATTTTTGAAGTAGTCTCCTTGTATTGTATGTAATATTACGAAGTTTTTTAAAGATTGGGTATGGTTAATTTACGTTAGATTAAGTTGATTAAGTTAGATCATTTTGATGTAGGAATAACATAAATCCAATCATAAACTAATCATTGCAAACTTTGTTTCAATAAAAAACAGATTTTGCATGCGGTGGCGCGTTTATTTATTTAGCTCATTTTTAATAAGTAATAAAATGGAATATTAATTTTAATTGCTATCAGATGGGCTTAGTATGATGACACTCATACCACGTTATAACGTAAAAGTTAATTTTTCTTGCCTTAATTATTTGAACATTTTGAAGCTTCATTTAAGTTCTGTGTTATGTGTGGACTAGGCGTGTCATGTGACGTTAATTTAGTTTTAAAATTAGCAACGGGATTTAAGGGAATTTTTTTTTTCAATATCGGCATTATCACATTCTAACAATGTCAGTATTAGCACATTGTAATATATTATATTATACAAGGACTACTACACACAGGACATGCATAGCCTATGTCCTGCCTCTGCTAGCAGAGGCGATCGCCTACACTATGAAAATGCTGGTGTTTTAGTGGCATCAACAAATGATATGCCCATAATTGTTTCATACAATAGTATTACAATGTGTGTAGTAGTCTATCGCCTCTGCTAGCAGAGGCTGGACATAGGCTATGCATGTCCTGTGTGTAGTAGTCCTTGATATTATATTATATTACATAATATTATATTATACCTATATTATATTTTATTATATTATACAGGGTGATAGATATAGAAATAGAGGTTTCGTAAATGGCTAATATTTTAAATAGAATATCACAAGAACCGGAATTAAATCGAGGAATATACATAGGTTTATTATGTTATTTCGTTGAGATTCGTCGTAATTGGCATGCCTCATTTGCAGTGAGTACTTACTATCCCCAATAATATTATTATTCTATTCATATTATATTGTTATAATATTATTATTACCTTATTATGTAGCCTGAGTTGCTTGATTTTACATGAAACATCATCAAACCGAATCACTGATAGGGATACATCGTCATTAGGTATCTGTGATACGGATACGTAGAGCGACTACACGGTATCAGTGATACGAGTCGCACCATATCAGCTCGTTTGCCTGGCAGGAAATTAAATTACTTTAAATTAAATGCATGGCCTATAATTCCAAAAATTATATCAGTACTCACTGCAGTGAGTGACGGAGAGAGGACGGACTCAGTCACGGACAGACGGACTGACATGACGAGCACAATAGCGCCTTTTTTCCATAAATGAAAAAATGTGCTAAAAAATATACTAGTAAATTTGTAGGTTCTGGAGTAAAATTAAATTTTCCATCTTTCCGTACGTTTTAAAATTTAATGAAGTAGTACTGCCATCAGAGCTGGGCAGCGCTACTTTGAAATGTAGCGGCCGCTACAGCTACATGCTCTAAATGTAGCGGGCGCTACCGCTACCGCTACAATTGCTTAATGTAGTGCCGCTACCGCTACTGAAAATCTAGCGCGCTACTGCCCATCTCTGGTAACAACTAACATGTTGACACTAGTAACAAGCTGAGGTTGACAACATCACACCGAAATTTTTCGTACAGTTTTATTCTGTAATTTATATTATGTATGTATCATGCTGTTTTTCAAATAATATTTAATACTATTAAGTAAAATCTAAAGGCTTTATCTATAAATGTAGCGGTAGCGCTGTAGCGGCATAACCTCGTATCGCTACTTAAATATGTAGCGGGCGCTACCGCTATTGAAAATGTAGCGGCCGCTACATGTAGCGCGCTACTGCCCACCTCTGCCATCATAGATTTTTGTAGACAAAGGCAATTGAAAAAAAAATTACGGAATTTGTCTGGAAAAAAGAGCTTGCAACCCCTCCGTTGGATCGTGCCGCACTCAACGTATTTATAATGATGATGTGAAATTATTAATACG